ATTATGTTCCCCTTTAGCCCACATACACATAACGTCCTTTTTTTTCTCTAGTTTGTCTAATTCAGACAATTGTTACAAATTAACTTATAACTACCCGTAAGAAAATTGTAGACCTTTCGAAGACCTAAAAAGGTCTTGACTAGATCTTTAGAATTGTCTGTAAAAGGTCTTGAATAGGTCTAGATATCGATTACGGTAAATGTCTTGAAAAAGTCTCCGCTGTGATGTTAATTTGACAGGTGAAAAGACCTTTTCGAGACCTTTCTGTATTGGGAATATTTTCACGATAAGTATCTCGAAAGGTCTTGAAAGGTCTTGGAATGTCTTAAATCCTCTTGAAAGGTCTAGAAAGATCTACTAAGGCCTTGATAGGTCTATAAATGGTCTAGAAAGGTCTTTTTCGAACCTTGCAGGCTTATATGCATGCACGCGTATGCGCTTCAAAATGCATTAAATGTGTCCAGCATAAGTAATTTAAGAACACAAAGTTAGTTCAATGAATAATCTATTATTTAAAATCATAGGTACATAAAACGACTACAGTAATATCGAATAAAATAATATAATAAGTACAATGAGTATAGATACATTGATTAAAATAACACATCCCTCATATCCATGTCATATATTGCGTACCGCGACTTCCGCGGTAAACTAAAATTATAACAATTAAATCTAAATTGTTCATCCCTACTTGTTTGGCGTCGGTTTAACAAGCCTTTTCTTTAGTTTGGTTTGTGCGCACGTACATTTGTTCGTAAACATTTTGTTTAACTTTGAGCTTTCCAAAGGAGCCACGTTGAATATTTTGGCGGACGCTAATAAGTATCCTGTAATGAAAAATGGGTATATTTTTATTGAAAATGCAATACAGAATACAAATACAATACAAAACACCGCTATTTTATTAGACTATTCTAAAGATATTAGACTATTCCAAAAATATTTGCATTATAAAATGACTACCTTTAATTGCCGAAACGATTTTTGGATCCAGCACTTTTTTCCCCGTTGGAAGAACCCGATTCCCAAACGCAACAGACACGCAAGCGTTTCCTCTGAGAAAAAGTGATCCATTAAAACATGAAACAACACCTTCAAATCTGACCCTGCTTTGTGATGGCATTCGCGAAGCTTGATCGTTGGAATAAAAACGCCAGACCCTGGACTGAGCTCTTGCTTCCCATTACCTCCCTCAAAATGCGAAACCGCTGGTGTTGTATCCACGACATCGGAAGAACTGTTTTTTGAATCCGTAGTCCTTACAGTTGGAGCCTAAATTTTTAACAAGCAAAATTAGAAGTGTAAAACTGGTGGGCAGTGCCAGATTTCCTCAAGAAAAACAAGAATAATTATCTTCTGAATTTGAAAAACGATTTACGTACCAATGACAGTGGCGTGTCTCGAATTTCATCGTGTGGAAAAATCTCCATTACTTCGTCACTGGCACTGTAGATCACATCTGAGCTGGCTTTTCGAATTGATTTTGCTAGTGACTCAGATATGCGGCGGTTCCAGGTGGGGCATTTAGCAAACCTATAAATAAAAGATTCATAATTACTCTCCGAACAAAACGCAAGAATGACATTTCCAAAACTAGTCTGAGCCATTTTCCAACTGTGCGGTTCAATTTTTTTCTGAAATACCCCGCTGCAAGCCTACCTTTTAACTGAGTGACAGTCGCTTTCAGTCTTTCATTCTCTTTTTTTAACTCGTCACAATTGCTGCATTCGAAAGGAACACCATCATCATGACCAAGACTTGCATCAAATGCACTTGTCCAATCGTCATCGCAATCATATGAAAGACGTATGGCACCGCTTATTTCCCGAGAAAGTGGCAAGGGTACTTCAGTCTCACTCTCTTTCACATTCAGTTCTCGGCGTGCTGTTTTGCTGGTTAACGGCGTGAGCTCCGAGTATTTCTTCGTGTTGTTTCGGTATGGTGTAGATGTGGACATGGTTGCCGTGGGATGGGAGAATGGACTGCTGATACAAGAACTTTCAGCTCGATCATTCGTTGGATTTGCAGTAGACCACTTCAAAGACTGTAGGTCATTTGAGGGGGAAGGGGTAGCGGCATGAGAGCTTGGTGGTAAAGGAGCTCTAATGGGCGTCTTTATAGCAGAGTTCAATGACTCCCGTTGTCAATTGAACCGTTTTCATTTGTGCATGTTTGCTCATTGTCATTCTCCATTGCTTGAAACATTTCGCGCGCCATAAGTTTCGCACTTTCAATTTGCGCATTCTTCAAGCTGCTTTCTTTTTCTTCACTGCCTTTTTTTCCTTCTTTTCTGGCACAGTTTTTGAAGATTTCCCCGCTTTTTCTTGATCGCTGATCTCTTCCAAGTCTAGCTCTTTCGCTTTAGCTGTCTTTGTTCGTTTTCTTTTTTTCCCCGCCACATTATTCGACTCTATTGCTCTTTTCTCAGCATAACTTTCACAGAGCAACTGAAGAGACTCTTCATTATCTAAATAATCGATAAGTATAACTACTTATAAATACAACGACAGATGCATACGTGAAGAATAATGTATAGAATATACTTGTATATATGTGTATGTATAATGCGGCGTTAAAGTGATTCGAATAAAAGTCGAAATACTAAATGTTCACTACCACTATGAAGTTGGATAAGGACCTGAAAAAACAAAAATGCTTTTACACTTTGAAATAGTAAGGTTAATGATTTTCAACAAAGTGCGTCAGAACATATAGCTATATTAAAAACAGGCGAGGCAATTATACCAATTTTGACGCCAGGATGTTTTTCAAGGCCTTGGCAGGAAACCAACTGTTTGCGATAAGGCGTGCATATGAATCTCGCCCTTGTAGCCATAGGCATATTTATTCTTTAGATATGCCGCGTAGCTTTCTTAACCATTAAACATACAGACAAATACAGGGCAATGTGAATAAAAATAAATTCTTGTTCAAAATAATGATGACCTAGCTGACTCAAAATAGTTTCTAGTATAATAACCATTAACATATGTCTTTATACAGTTTTATTCCAAATCGAGCAACACAAACCCCCAAAAGATAAATATTTTAAAATAAAAACTTTTAGTAAAAATATCATAGCCTTGATATCTATAATTTATATAACTGAAACGCGGGGGAAAGGATATGGTTAAGGGAGCCTTCTTAGTTTACCTTATACGACAGCCAGCTAGGCACTACAATCGTTCATGAAACCACTAAATAACTGGTTCGTCATTGATTGTCCCCGCATTCGGAATTTCTACATTTGCATGTTTGAGGATTTGAAATATAGACTTACCGGAGATTTGAATTACTTTTGCTTTATACCAGCTCGAGGTGACAAGAACCTTCTTCTTCATCACCCTCCACGCAACAAGTGAAATTGCGCCCAAAATAGGCTCTCCAGATATGTCTTCATACCTTACAACACTGTACTGTTCGTCTTCAATCCAAAATACTAAAGCAAATTTCCTTTCAGCCATATTAAAAAAGATCAGTGAATTGATTTAAAAACACGAGTTTTGTTTTAATCGTTTGCTCAGGCAGTCACGCTACTTTACTTCAGTCGAACGAAAATTTCAACTGCGCGCATCAAAAGGAGACTTGAATTCTACCGCTAACGTGATTGATCAGCCAATCAAAGCGAAGGATTACCAGCACACAGCTGGCAGATCTCCGATTTCAACCAAACCCTTATCAGATCGTGACATGACAGCTATTCTGTAATTGGTATCGAACTTTAATTGTTACTTGAGAGCTTTGAACGCAGGTTGTTTTTAAAAGTTGCAATACTTGGCAAAAATGTCCGATATGGAAGCGCAAGCTAAAAAAAGAAGAAAGACAAGAAACGAGATGGTTAATGAAATAATTATGGAATCGGTAGCTACAGAACAAAACGTCATATCGATTCAGAAGCATTTTGCTGAATCAGTTTTGTCGACGCCGCAGTCAAATCGACCTTTTTCTGAAATTGTACACTCATCCCACGACGCGGACGAAATCCATTCCCTTTCTAGCGAGTCCAGTGGTGAAGAGATTATACAGTGTACAAAAATGGAGCAAACTTTACAGTACATGAAAGAAGCTATAAACGAGGACAACTCCGTGACACCAATGGGATCATGTGAAGCTGAATCATTTTCTCGACTTGAGCCAAATTATGACATTGAAGATAGTAGCAGTTATCATGATACTTCAAGGAATGATGTACTGTTATCGAACGAGAACGATGTGGATGAAGAAAATGACTGGGTTCTTGACTACTTAGACAAGATACAGGAGGCCCTTCAAGAAGAAATGGACAACATCACGAAAGACGTTAACGAAGTAGATGATGAGGAAGTTTGGTACGACTCGTTGGACGAGATCAGCAACTTTCAAACACAACAAGGTACTGTGGACAACGATTATGAAGAAAATGCTGACTCCAAACCACTGTATGAAAATGCTCCGATCACAGTTGGGGTTAGTGCTTTACTAATTATGACATTTGCTATTAGGCATATGATATCTGGTAAGGCATTACACGACTTGCTAGTGCTAGTAAGTTTGCATTGTGGGTGGCCAAACTATTGTTTCAAAACATTATATACATTCAAAAAGTACTTTCAAAATTTAAAGAGCCCGCTCAAATTCCATAACTACTGCTCTAAATGCAACGTATCTATCAGTAAAGAAATGCCAACGTGTCCTAACAGCCTATGCCTTCAAGACTTGACCGTCCCAGGAAATATGAGCTTCTTCATAGAAATTTCTATCGAAGATCAAATACGATCATTGTTTGCGAAAACAGGGATTTGGAACTTACTTAACTATCGCTTCTCGCGAGTTAAAAGAGGAATAAATAATATTGAAGATATCTACGATGGGAAACAATATCGAAGATTTTTCGGGAACGGCGGAATACTTGACGATCAAAGGAACATTTCGTTAACTTGGAATACGGATGGAATACCAGTATTTAAATCTTCAAAAGTTGCAATATGGCCTCTATACTTTGTGGTCAACGAACTACCTTACGCGCAAAGAATTTCGAGAAGTAACATGATCGTCGCTGGTTTATGGTTTGGCAGCAGCAAGCCAAATATGCTAACATACTTAAAACCCTTCCACTCCAGTTTGAAAAAATTAGAAACTAATGGAATTCGAGTTGAAAATCCAGAACAAGGATCTTTTGTAAGCCGAGCGATTTTGTTAGCTGGAACATGCGACCTCCCAGCTAAATGTATGGTATGCAACTCAATCCAATTTAATGGTCAATATGGCTGCCTAAAATGCAAGCAAGCGGGGGAAACATTTCGAACTGAAAAGGGAGGGATAGTACATAGCTACCCATTCAAGCAAGATAATCCGAAAGGCCCAGAGCGGACTCATGAAGAAACTCTAGAGCATGCCAAACAAGCAGTTACAGATGGCAAGCCATGCAATGGTATTAAAGGTCCATCATGGCTCGCAGGCCTGAAACACTATGACATTATTAAAGGAACTGGCATAGACTATATGCACGCAGTACTTTTAGGTGTTATGAAATTGCTTTTAAATTTGTGGTTTGGAACGAATCGCAATTTCCCCTTCAGCATATCTCATAAGATAAATCAAGTTGATAAGCGTCTTCTTTCAATTAGGCCACCAGATTGTATATCACGATGCCCACGTTCAATAGAAGCTCATAGAAAGTATTTTAAGGCTTCGGAATTGCGTTCTTTTCTATTGTTTTACGGACCAGCTATACTTCTAACTATTTTACCAACCGAATACTATGATCATTTTCTTCTTCTAAGCGAAGCGATATACGTTTTGTTACAGCAATCTATTACAGTTGATGAGATAGCGCATGCTGAGCGGCTTTTATTCCATTTTTGTGTTATGTTTGAGACATTGTACGGTAAAAGATATCAAACAGCAAATATTCACTGCCTTGTTCACTTGGCAGATAACGTGAGGGAATTAGGACCGTTGTGGACTCACTCCTGTTTCCATTTCGAAGACAAAAACGGTTTTCTCTTAAAAACTATTCACGGTACCCAGCAGATTCATTTTCAGTTGATATCGGCAATTTCTATTTCTAAGCGTATACCAGAACTCGAGAAAGATTTTCTTTTGGATGGGACTCATGAATGCGAATTTTACCACAAACTCACGGGAAAAGTTAAATTAGCTAAAAATGAAGTACAACTTTCAACAGAGTGCTTCGCAATCGGTGGAGCAAGTTGGCGTCAGCTTTCACCGGTCGAATTTGATATGTTTTCAAAAACATTCGGTTCTGTCCCGCCAAATATGAAAGTGCAAACGTTTTCCCGTATTAGAAAAGCGAAGTGTATTTATCACTCAAAAATGTATAAACGTGTTCAAAGCAGAAATAGTTATACAATTAGGTTTGCGGATCAGGACAATGAGAGCGGTTACGGACTTATCGAATATTTTGCTCAGTTTAAGCCGGTGTGTTTGTGTGTTGAAGTAGAATGTAAATGTCCTAGTTTCAATTTCGCCGTCGTTTCTACTCTTTCAAAAATCAACATGAGCCTTATTGATGACGATATTACACATGCCACAGTTCCAAACATTATTGTAGTTGCACCAACGGAACCTAATAAAATTCAAATTATTGACATTGCAAAAATACAAAATAAGTGCACATACATGGAGTTTTGTGACTCCCCGCATCACGTATTTCTTGCACAGTTTCCTAACTCAGTCGAGACAGATTAGAATTTAATAGTATTTTATCACTATATTGTACAATATTCATTAAACTATTGGTATAAATAAATGTAAATAAATGTGTAAATAAATTATAGGCTTTTAGCTGTCGTTTAATTATTTTCAAAAATGAAACATATCGTATGAAACAGATCACTCTTCCTGCTTACATTCACAAATTTGCTTTATACATAGCTTTTAATTATAAGATAGGTTTGGCCATATGGTTTGGCTCATTGCTAATAGCTGCTATTAAATTTAACACTTACATCACTCATCACATAGCATGAGAGGTTACTCACAACCTCACAACGCCTACGCATTTCATTGTACGCAAGTTGTTAAATTATACCGCGGACAAGAAAAACTAAGGATCGAAGCATCAATATAAACCGAGATTTTCTAAACTGTTAAACTTACGCCTTTTATATAATGGAATATTCCTTCGAATGAAAATACGGTAAGGCTATGCATGATTTACTCTAAAGTCTAAATATTATATCTGTCTTGATATGACGATCGAGTGTGCATGCGGCTGTGCGCGCATATTATTTAACTTGAAATGATGATAAACCGCATCTATATTCATCATACGTGTTGTATAATACGATAAGATAATTACCTGAAAAGTAGCGATATTTGACTATAGTTCCTCTTACGCATGTAATCAATGAAAATTATACATGTGCGTGTAAAAAATAGCGTATATAAAATCAAATATAGGTCAGCTAGACCTTTCAGCTAGCGCAGTATATGAAAATTGTCTACTAGACATACTGTAGACCTTTCAAGACCTTTTCTCAAGACAATCTAATA